AAAAAAAAAAAAAAAAAAAAAAATCAGAAAGTTACAATTTCAAGACATTAGACCTCAACAATAAGAAAATTTTCCTAAATTACTCTCTGGATATGTAATTTACAAAACACTTTTGTATGCAGAGGCAGAGAGACTGTTACAAGAAAGATTAAGTTTGCATGAATGCAAACTATCTCCAGATTACAGGCACAGCGATGGAAGGAGACCCACTGATTTTGTAAGATTAAACAAAAGAGAGGTCTAAGTTCTTAGAAGTGTCCACAGTAGAAAAGTACAAGTAGTCTTTTTAAGCCTTTTTAGTGTTATGGCCAATTCTATTAAGCCAGACAGTACACCACCTCACAGAAAAAGGGAACATATTTGTGTTTGTCCAGGAGTTATTGTTCAAGTCCCCCAGAGTGCTGAGGGAATTAGCAGAGATCATTGCGGGACCCTGGCATGGCTTTATGAGCACTCGTGGTGCTCTGGTGTGGTGCCAGAGGACTGGAAAAGAGCCAATGTGGTTCCCATTTTCAAAAAAGGGAGGAAGGAGGACCCAGGAAACTATACGCCAGTTAGTCTTACCTCAATCCTGGGTAAGCTTTTTGAGAGAATTATCCTGACATATGTCCACAAGGGGCCAGCAGGGGAGATTATGCTTAGGGGCAACCAACACAGGTTCATTAGAGGCATGTTCTGTCAGACCAACCTGGTGGCCTTCTATGACCAGGTCACAAAATCCTTAGGCACAAGGGTAGCAGTGGACATAGGCCTTCCTAAAGTCCAGAAAGACTTCGACACTGACTCTCACCCCATTCTCATTAAAAAACTAGGGGACTGTGGTGTCGACACTTAAACAGTCAAATGGGTCACTAGCTGGCTGGAGGGCCGCACCCAGAGAGTGGCGGTGGTCATTTTTGACCTGGAGGGATGTGGGCCGTGGGGTCCCCCACGGCTTGGTCCTTTGGCCCGCACTGTTCAACATCTTCATCAGTGACTTGGATGAGGGGGTAAAAAGCACCCTGTTCAAATTCGCAAACGACACTAAGATGTGGGGGGATGTGGGCACGCTAGAAGGGAGGAATAGGCTGCAAATCGGACCTAGACGGGTTACAGGGGTGGGCAGATGAGAACAGGATGGGTTTCAACACTGACAAGTGCAAGGTGATGCACCTGGGGAGGAAGAACCAGCACCATACCTACAGGCTGGGGAACTCTCTTCTCATCAGTGCAGAGGCAGAAAAGGATCTTGGAGTCATCACTGATGCCAAAATGAACATTGGCCGACAGCGTGGGGATGCGGTCAGGAAGGCCAACCATACCTTGCCATGCATCCACAGATGCATCTCAAGCAGGTCCAAGGAGGTGATCATCCCCCTCTACATGACACTGGTCAGGCCGCAGCTGGAGTACTGCATCCAGTTATGGGCGCCACACTTCAGGAGACCTGGGGACCTTTAAGAGGAGGCTAGACGAACACCTTGCTGGGGTCGTTTGACCCCAGTACTTTTTCCTGCCATAGCAGGGGGTTGGACTTGACGATCTGCTCAGGTCCCTTCCGACCCTACCAACTATGAAGCTACAAGTCCCTGCACTTATATAGAATTCACTATTCCTAAATCACTCCAGGCAGGTGACTATTGAACATTTTCTTTAAAATCTCCGATTTAAGGAGATACAACAACATCCCCATTTGCTCTCCTGAAAAAAGTATATTACTGCAAGGACACTACATCAACGTAGGCATAACAAAAATAAACTAAAAACTACTTACTTGAAAAGCAATCAGGTAACACAAAGCTGCCAGTTCAGAAACAGCTCTCCACTGGGCCTCGCTGTGTTCAGCCATTTTCAGCAGCAGAGTTCCAGCATGCAGGTAGAAGTGACCTCTCATTTCCATGAAAGTCACAGACAGTTCATCAGTCCCATTCACATATGGTTTCACAGAGTGAAGTGCACTATCAAAACTACAAGACAAACAAAATTTGTTTAAACTAGTGCCAGCTGCATGCTAGTTTTAGGGTTAAGTAATTCTACTTGCAAAGTGTAAATGGTATGTTGGACTGAGACAGAGCTATATAGAAGAGAATCTCAAGTTCAAGGCTCTTGTTAGTTTCTGGTACACTTTACTCGTAGACAGAAATATTTCTGTATAAGAGCCTACCCTCTGACCTTTACGTTGTTGCTAAAAGCTCTTCCGGATAGTAAGTATGCCAGTGGAAAAATATTCACACCCCAAGAAGGGTCAAGAAGCACACGACAATGCAAGTCTGGTTCTCAACAATATCAAAACATGGAACCAGGGTAGCACAACATAGAAACACGGGTTTTAGTAACTAGCAGAGGGTTTTTTTAAAATCAGTTGTTTTCCTAAACCACCTGCATAGTGAAACAAGCCTACTTGATAATTTTTTAGTGCAGAACAACATCTCTTGGCATTGAGAAGAAGTGTTTCAGCATGGGAAGTTACAATGAGAATACCTTTCAAGTACTTCTCTACTTTCTTGAACGTCTCTAGTAGAAAGTGTCATTACTACAAGGTTGGAATAAGCCAGCAGCAGATCCCTGTTGGTGGTTCTCCAGTTACTTTTATCAGATTCCGAGTCCTGTACAGATTCCAGATATTCCTAGAGAAGATTTACCATAAAATAAGGTACAGTCAGTATCTTGGTGGGCTAGAACACTTCCACTTCCAAATCTCACTAGCTACCACTGACCGTATTCTCCATTTTACAAGCTCAACATACAATCCACATACATTTCATCCTAGTGTCCAGAGAGAAAACATAGCTGTATAGGAGAGGGAAGTTCTGAGCTTTCTGTTCAAGACAAAACTAACAGTCTTACTTAAAACACATTCAACTTAAAAATGTTGAAACGCTAAGCCAGAGCAAGTATGAAAAACTAATGTTGTTAGATTCCCCTCCTTGGAAAATTCAAGAATTACACTAATGCAACTTAGTGTAGAAGACTAAAAACTGTTTCCCTTGTGTTCCCCCCTCCCCCCACCCCACAAGAGCCTATATTACAAATAAGCATACCTTAAGTGTCTGTACAACACAGGAACACCATTCCAAGCTTGACCGAGAAGTTATCTTCTTTTCTGCTTCACAGCAGTGAGCCACAGCATCTCCAAGTCGCTTATTTGACCGGTAG